ACGGCTAAAAAATTTGGTTTTTTAACTGTGAAATAAAAATCTGACTGATTTTTGGAACAGCAAGCTAGCTTAATCAAGAGTGAGAGATCCTTGCAATTCAAAAAAATAGTTCGAGGAAATAAAATTTGTCAAAAACAACAAAATTTTTTATAGATTTTTTAATTTTAAATATTAGAGAAAATCTCTAGAAAATTAAACCGTTCTTTTACCCACAACAGAAATGAATCACACGTTACTCTCTGATCTTCCGCTCCAATGCTGAATAATTCTAAAGTCATTCGCTTTATTATTCGACGCGAACAATGCAAAAAGAAGAGAGACAGAAAAAAGATACAGAGAGCGAGAGAGAGAGAAGTGATTTTCCTCCCTGAATTCGATAGCCAAAATATTGAATTTCCGCAGAAAAAGGAGAGTGGATGGACACCATCGTTCCCCCATAAAATCGGCAAAGCGAGAAATCGAGCAACAAAAAGAGAGTGGCGCGCCACCTTTTCTTTCTTTCCCTTCGTATTTCTTATAAATGCAGCCCTCTTACCCTGACCGCGCGAGTTCCCTATCGCGAAAGCAAGATCTCACCCTTCGAATTGCACGAGAGAAATCCCGCGGCGACGGTCGATTCTAATCGATCTTTTGATTCCTCGTCGTTTTAACTCTGCCCCGCGGGCATCTCTTAACGAAGACGTCGTTAACGCCCTTTTCCCCGGTCGGTTTAGCATTTTTTAGGGCGAATCCCGTGTGCTTTTTTTCCACTGTTATCGCCGCCGTGCTGATGGGAATTCCGGCAATTCCAGGAGCGCGAGAAAAATGCCCAAAATATTTTCATGAGAAAAAATAAGCATTTATATATTACAATCATTTTGCATTTACGCGTCTCTGAAGTTTTGCATTTAAATCGTATCAATAAATTTTTAAAAATCAAAAAGAATAAAACAACGCTTTTAAAAAGCTTGATATAGAATTTAAGACATATTATAACTAAAAAAAAATATAAAAAATATATCTAGAAGTATTTTGGCGAAAAATGCAATGTGAAATAATAAATGTTTAAAAAGCAAAAGAAAATTTATACAAACATTCGACTGGGAAGATGCGGAATGGTCGACTCGTGCAAATATATTTTTACGAGCGTGTAATGCGCGGAATTATATCGGCGCGTTGAAAGCGCAATATTCGATTTTCGAGACGGAATATATCTTCGACGACGATGGCTTTCTCGTTGCAAGTAATTTCGAGTGATTTCAATTTCAATTTAACCCCCTCAAGCCGATTTCGCCGGTTCTCCATTACTCCATTTTGAGGATCGCCCGACAGAGACGTAATTATCCAATATTGTTAACGGCAACGAAAGCCCTATTACGAATTCTCCCGCGACTAATTCCATCCACGTTCCGCGAAATCTGCGAGCTTAATAATCATTCGTAGTTTCGCTAACATAGTTTTCGTCATTATTCAGTAATAATTATATAGAAAAAAGTGGTTCGCGCTAAAAATATTTGTTTCTTAAAAAAAAACGATCATTACACGCGATTGATCTGTGTAAATTAATCTGTGAGGCGCATAAAAAATTACGATTCTCGTTAAATTGTCGATGATTGTGAATTTTGCATTACAACAATATTAATTCTTCGTGTCGCTTCTCCCCGGTCGCTATTTATGTCTTATAATGATACGGAATAACTCAAATAACCAGCCGAGCCACGCGAACATATTTCCTTGGAATTTATTCAAGATCCTTGACAAATACGGAGCGCAAAAAATTGCGTTCGCCGAGGGTGGAGAGATTCACGGAAGCGAACCTTCCCGCCACGCCGGTAAAGCTCCGAAAGAGCGCGAGGGAGAAGAAGGGAACCTCTTCGAGGATGGAGGTGGCGGATCCTCGAGTAAATTTTCGGGGACGGGAGTTCGGATGGGAGCGGCGAGGGACTTAGAGAAGAGAGGATGAGGAACGACAATAACTTCTCGGCTCGGCGTACAATTTGATTTTATGCAACGCTTGGCACGCCTCTTAGCGCGAGATATCCTTATAACGTTTAACTAGATTGTTATGATTGTTGTCCCGAGCACGGTTTCTCTTCTCTCTCTATCTCTCTCTTTCGTGCATCGACCTCTTCTATCTTCAGAACCAGTATACGTACGAACAGAGTGGTATAAGTACACAGAGGCATGCACATAGACAATGCGCTGACAAACGAAAATCCGTGAACGTGAATCCCCGACTGTAAAGCTCTCTCTCTCTCTCTTGCTTTCTCGTACATATCATGTCTCGTGCGCGAATCTGCATTTCATTTCTGTCTCACGAGAAATACTGTCGCATTGCAGCTGTTAATGAAATAATGAAAACATTGTGTTGCCGAGAACTAACATAGATTACAAGTTAATACTAATCATCTACAAGCAAAGAAGCGACGAACATTTTTTTTTTAAGTATGCACGAAATTAATTCAGGTTACTTGCAACCATGATACTATTCTAATTTTTACTTGCATGTAAAATTTTAATTGTAACCTGAGATCTCTGCAAAATATACTCCATTTAATGTTTTTCTCTTTACCTCTAAACTTTCTGATCCGATATAACATTTGGTAGTCTTTGAATACTCTACATCTCCGAAGTTCCCGAAAGAAGCAGAATAAGAACAAACGTGCGGATATGCCTTATTCTTAATCTATCGTCACCAAAGATACGCTCTCCGCTTGGGAAGTCGAGAGAGACCCAAGTTTCGGATCCTCTCGAGCCCGACTTCCCGAGACTTAATCCGCGAGTTTGTACTCATTCCCGCGTGTTCCAACGACGTGCCCCGTGGTTCTCGTTCGAGCACGAGGGAAGGTGAATCGGCGAATCCGGAGGCAACACGTATGATATTCATATTCTCGACGGAGTCTGCCCCAAAGGGGTAGGGGGAGGAGGAGACGGCTGGCGAAGGACGAAGACAGAAAAGGGTGGCGAAGAGTGGTGAACAGGGAGAGGGCGAACGTGGCAGAGGCTGGCTGCTGCTGCTGCTACTGCTGCTGGTGGTGGTGGTTGGCAGAGCGTCGAAGGCAGTGGTGCAGACCAGTGGCACGATGGAGGCAACCCTGGTTTCTAACCCTATAGCCGAGGGGGTCGGTCTGCTGCTGCTGCTGCCACTGGTGTTGGTACTGGCGTTGGTGCCGGCAATGTTGCTGGTGCTGGTGCGCGCAGCACAGGCGAAGAATGGTGATAACACGAAGACTGCGGCGCGAGGGATGGAGGGAGGGGATGGAGACGGCGGCGAAGGGTGGATACCACTCTGGATATTTCTTATCCCAGCGCACGTAACCCTCTAACAAGCTAGCAAAGTTTACCAATAAATTGTATGACGGTGAGCGTCGGCGATGGGGGTTGGGAGGGATGAGGGAGGAAGCCACCGGAATATCGCGCTGAACGGTGATGGTGGTTGGTAGCGGTGTTGGCTCCGCTTTTGTGTCGTCTCCTCCCCTCCTTCTCTACCATTTTTCCACTCTTTTTTCTCTTATCTCCTATCCGCCTCTTATACCGACGAGTCGTCTCGTTTAAGCGAAAAATATGTTTTTCGAAAATCATGAGCATCGGTGGAATCGAATCGGCATCTTCCAACTTTGTACGACGACCTGGTGCTCGACGAACTTATTTCATTGCATCGATTGTACGCGTTGAAAATGATCTTTGATAGAAACTTAGAAAATAGATTTTCCTTATTTGGTTCCGACTCTCATCCCCTATCTAAATTCCAGCATCTTCAAGGTTTAGCTATTCCTCTTTCTATGAGTGATATACATACTTCTCAATCTTTGGTATTTTATCTAGTGCTCATTGTATTAATTTGAACGAATTTTTATTAGAAAAAAAATTTTAATTGAGGAAAATAATAATATTAGAATTAACATAGAGGCAAAAAGAAAATATATAGATAGTAATAGTCGTATATATTAAAATTTAAGTTCAAATTTTTTAGAACAGAGCTCAGGGCACACAATGTTTTCTTCAAAATTAAATGAAATACACACCTAGATGTAAAGTCCAATATTTTATGGCAACATTGTTTATTAATTACCGTATAGAAAAAAGAATACCTTGAAAAGATTTCACTTGAGAAACGTTCGGAATATTTTCATCGCAAAACGATTATTTGTGAACTTTAATATAACGCATTTACGGTTGCCTTCTGTCACACAGAACCGGCACAATTTTTCATATATATCTTTCTCTCCGTGTCCCTCCTTTAGACGAAACGCCAAATGTTGGCGCACACCGCCAATGAGAGAAACAGAACGGGAACAGAAAAGCAGAGGGAAAAGAAGCGAGGGGCAGAGAGAACGGACGATTATAACCGAATGCCATTTCGGAGACATAATGCAGCGCGCGCTAGCGAACGTACTTTATAATGGAGTCACATCACATCGGTTACACAATCACAATACTAAATCCGACATAATGGCTACCTACCTACCTACGTTTCTCTCGGCGGGGCCAAAAACGCGCGAACGTGTAGTCTGCATTATGTTCGGAAAGCGACCGATTATTATTATATAACGGTTCTTTCTAAAAAAATCGTAAAATTTAAAAAAAATCGTGACTTTGTCTCATCTAGATTTTACGTAATACAGATATTGAATGGCTAAACACATTATGAAATTTCTCACTGGACATACGAATTTAATTATTACAGTATACGATTCATAATTTGTTCTACGATTTTTTGAGAAATTCGGAGTAAATTTTTCTAGTGTGCAAGTGAATAGTCTTTGAATTAAGTAGTTCAAATGTAAACACTTTTATAAATATGAATAAGTTTCAATAGATAAAATAAGCCTTAATCTTCAATAAGTTAATATATCTCATGGAAATAAAATGATAAAAATTATAACAATGATAATAGAACGTTTTCGAGGAATTTTAATTTTGAGGAATGTTTCAAGACATATATATAACTGGATAATGCACACACACATAGACAATCAAAGAATTGTATGTCTATATTAGTAAAAGTTTATCTCACTCACCGACACTGATGTACAACAGCGAAGTAGTCGATATGTTCAAGCTACGTTGTCTGAAACATACAAACATAAAATCTCAATTAAAGCAACGTTCAAATTAATTATATTTCAAAAAATTATTATTGGACGTGCTGAACTTTAGATTTGATACATAACAAGAATAAACTATAATATATACAAATATAAAATAAACAATCATTATAATTAATAATTCTATATAAATATAAAATAGTTTCCTAAATTTAAAAAAAAAATATTTTAAATAGAAACTTTTTATAGGATTTATATAAATATTTATATAATCTCTCTTACAAATTTATATATCTCTAAGTTTCTCTTTAAATTATTCAAATAAATGAACGGATTTATAATAATTAATATATAAATAACGATATATATATTCACCTTAGGGTTGCTCTGGTTGTGCCCGATGCCTCTCCTAGGCCTTCTCATCCTCTCAGATTGTCGGTTGATTAACACGCGCGATACTTTTAACGGCACTCCCGCACTTAAACGCGCGATACTTTCAACGGCACTCCCGCACTTGTACGCGCGATAATTTTAACAGCACTCCCGAATTTTGCGTCATCTGTAACATAAAAATATAAAATATAAATTATAGCAGCGTTCAAATTAATTACTGTTTCAAAAAATTATTACTGAACGTGCTTAGCTTTATAGTCTATTACTCAGTTACTCAGAAGTTACTCAGGAAGATCTGTTCACCAGAAAGATCAAATCGGTTTAGTATTTTCCAAGATTATGGAATAGTGTAATAAACAAACCTTTTTATACATTAGTATATATAAATTATAAAAAAATGGAGAGAACATTTGATATGCTACTTGTATATGAGCCTATATAATATTGCAATGATTATTTTATCGTATTTATTTTTTACAACGACAACATGCTCGCAACTGATTTTTAAGTCATAAATCTTCGAATTTTATAATCGATTTTGTCGCATCTCGAACGCGGTCGTTACGATAACTGAGAAAAGAAAAAAAGAAAGAAAAGTGTGGTAAGAGTTTTGTATGCACACATATAGCGTGTATCAGAAGCCCCATATTTTTCTCGAACTATAAAAATTACAAGACGAACAAAAGAAATGACGATTACTTTAATATCGTAACATTAATAACTATACAATTTTTGAAACAGTTTGATGGATTGAATTTTAATTGCATAAATAAATAAGATTTGATAAATATATGTATAATGTAGTAAATCTTGTTCTCTATCTCTTTTTCCCATTAGATTTTAGATAGATTCTTACATTAAAAATAATTCAATATTAATTCGTAAGATACATAAAAGTGTGCAAGATAAAATAGAAAGGATAGATTTTTATCTAATCTTTATACTGTTGAAAAGTGCACGACTTCTGATACATCCTGTATATGCATACATTTGAGTTGATCGGAAGCGATCTATTCATCCTGAAATATCTCTTTTGGTGGAAAGGTCGTGGCGAGCATGCTCTGAATGTTGTCCATTCCTTTCCGCCGTTCTCGTATATTTGCTCTTCTGACCGAGCAACCTCGCTGTTCGGATTTCCCGAAGTTCTTTTCCGATTGCCAGAACGAAATCATTCAATCAGACAATCTTAATACGTACACCAACAATACACTTTCCTTGTGACATCTTAATCTATTTATATGCTTTACGTTTTTTATTTTTTTTTTTTAGAAAATATATAACTTCATAATTTTGTTTGCAGGGAAACATGTTTGATATTATGTAGTCCTCAAATATATTTTTTTCTACCTGATTTTAACTTTTAATTCAAAAAGAAGAGTTATTATTTTAATTATTTTTCGTAAAATTTCGTTTAAATTATCGTAATATTTTTAATTAAATATACATGTCTAGTTTCAAAAACGTTCCATTACATCATAATTTTGAAAAATTTTGGAATTGCAATTAGAAGAGAAAATATTTTACTTTACCATGCTGCAGCTTTGACATATGTTGAAAAAGTTTTATTTTATTCAAAATTAAATATATTATCAGAATTTATAACCTTCGAAAAGAATTGAGGATTGAATCGATCTTTGATATTATTTCGAGCAAAGATTTATAAATAATATCAAAGGGGTCGATTCGATCCTCAATTCTTTTCGAAGACTAGAAATTCTGGCAATATAAATATACTGACAATTTAAATAATTTCAAAAGTAAAAATATTAACGTATTTAAAATGTCGAATAAAGATACTCATAATACATATTAATTACTTGGATCTCTATTAATGTTGCATAAAATTGTTAATTCACACTTTTAAATCAAGTATGTGTTTAATAGTATTATATATTAATACTTAATTTATGAGATTATATTTACGAGAATATTTTTACATTCTAGTTTCCCAATAAGTAACTAATTATCGATGGCGTTTTGAAATCCGAAAGAAAACGCTTTAATAAAATGTATGAAACTATCACATGCTTTGTTGCGCAATGGTTAGCCGACAAAAGAATGCGAGACTAATAACCATGGATTGTTTCGAAAGAAAAGAATGATCAAGAGAGAGGAAAGATAATAGAGAAAGAGGGAAAGAGAGAAAGCTTTGCTCGAAACTGGACGAAGAGACGCGAAGTGACTGGAGGAGGTTTAAGCGTTTCTTCTCCAGGTCTCTCTTCGTGTGCAATCGATTCTTCCGCCATATCGCACGGACCACTTCAGGAGGGCAAGAAGGCACGCGTTAACGCCACCATGGTGAGACGACAGCTAGTCGGAAAAAACTTACCCCCTCGATCTCCTCTCCATTCCCTCGCGCGTACTCTTTCCCTCTTTCTCTCTCGACACTTTTTTTTCTTCCTTCCTCTTATATTCGGCCACCTGCGGTTTTGCCACTACAATATTTACGGGTTTGCAGATCGTCGAGCGATTTTCACTTAAGTCGATTCGCCTCGTCGACGATTCGAGATATATCCGTTCATGTACTTTATTTCATTCTATATTGACGTATTGCAACGCGATGCAAGGCAATACAATATGCTACAGCCAGAAAGATAGTTGTATTTCTGCTATCTATCGATTTGCGGTTAATAAAAATCGTCTTTCTAAATATGCCCAAAAATGCAAGTGCATTCTTCAATGCAAAATTCGTAAAATCAACTGCAACGTTAACTATATGGAATTGCAAACAGCCAAAGTCGAATCTTCAACTATAATTTAATTTTCATGAAATCTAAACCTGCATAAGAAGTAGGGAGAAATATATAAGTCTATTTTAACTTAAACTTATTTTTCTCTCATTTTTTCATCATATGTATGTCTTTCCTATGCTACTTTCATCGTGAATATCTCTTGCTTCTTCATTTATAGATAATTTATATCTACATATAATGTTTGCATTAATTTTTCTTATTTTGAATTACGTGCATTGTATATTATATAAATTCTGTATATTTTCGGGTAATGGACGCCGATACTATGGCCGAAACTTTGCTCGTTAGCAAATTGTCAATGTCATTTACGAGGGGGACCGCGTGAAACTTATATTTAGCTCCGGTTTCGTAGGGTTTTCAAAAATGGGCAAAGGGCAGACCTTGTTCAGTGCGCGCTTCAGAGGCAGGCGGGTACGGCTCGCATTAGCGCCAACGAGTCAGAAAACTCCCCTGCGGCTCGCGTCGCTACAATATTTATGGGGTTGCTCGCGCGAGCGAGCGATTCTCGTTCGCGCGAGTTCGCCTCGTTGGGCGCTCAAGGTCCTAACGAGTCTTAACGCGTGTGCGGGATGAGCTCAGGACGAGCGCGAAAAATTAATGAGCGTCGACCAGTAGCGCGCGCGCGCCTCTGAAATTGTGCATTTTTTCAAGAATACCTTATCGCGCCAAAAAAATAACATGTGTACGAAATAATCCTGAAGGTTTCAAATCATTCTGGAAGCACGCCTCGTGTTTTCTTTCCTCAAATTCCATGATAGAGAACCTTGATGAATTTAATTTTTCATCTCGCGAAAGAATAGAAAGATGATATATATGCTTGTTAGTTATTTGTTATTATAATTAAACTGTTGAAAAGTTTCATAATTTTAGCCACTATAGAAGGAGTGATATCTTCTAAGCTTCTGGTCCTTGATAGTTTATATATTATATTAAATTTTTAAACGCGTCAATTAAGACAGTCTACATATAGAAGCTGTTATAAATTATGTATAGCTTTTCTAATAATTTGAAACATCTAATCTATATCTTTGATTTCGAAAAGTCATTATGCGTCTATCTCAAGATTTCAATTATTCTACTCGACTTCATCAATTCGCGATTTTATTCTTTACATAGATATCACTTTCATATATCCATAGCATTAAAATTCGAACGAAACTACACCGATTTCACCCCTCGATTTAAACCGATTGCCTCGAGATTTTTGCTTCTTGTTACGCGTCGCTCTTATTTTTATCTCGTCGGTCTTGAATCTTTTCTTTTTCAGCTTAAGAGAGAAAGAGCAGCGTGGAATGAGCCGTCGCCAGAAGTGGAGAAAAACCCATCCCCGGTCCGCTCCCTCTTCATCGACGCCGAAGGATCTTCCTTCCGCTGCGAATCGGCGGCGCTCGTCGGAATCGAGTCGAGAAAATCGTGAAAACGGGCGAAGTCTCGCGACTAATCAGCCGACCGTCGGTTTACGCCTTCGTTCCCACCGTCATCGTCGACGCGTTTCACTCTCGGCCTTCTCCGTCTCCTCCAGGAGCTGCCGGGAGTTTAAAAGGGGGTGGCCGAGTTTTTCTTTTTCTCTCTCTTTCTCCCTGTTTTTCTCTTTTTCTTCACCCTCCGTCGCTCGCAATCACAGCGAAGTGTCGCCTTCGACGAAGGATGTAAGTACCGGTCCCGAACGAGTAAGTTCAAAGAACCGGAACCGGAAACGGTTTTCTCCGATTTTTACCAAATTCGATGCGCCTGCTCGAGATCTCGTAAATCGAATCCTCCCGATGCGCAAAGACACGAAATCGAAGAATTGATGTAATAACGCGAAAGTTACAAAGTAGATTAAATGCAATAGCGAAGTGGCAAAAATTGTATATGCAATAAACATAAATTATTAATGCATGCTATCTATAGTAAAGACAAACAGATTTACTGTAACGTTAATGTTTATGAAATATTGTACCGAATATTAATAAATTAATGAATCAGTACAATGTTTCATGAACAGTAATCTGTTACCATAAATCTATTTGTCTTTACTATCGATACACTAAACAAAAATTATTGAATTCGAATAAATACTTATTTCAATACTGCCTAATAAATCATTTATTTGAAACTAATAATATTGACATAAGTGTAGCACCCTGCCAAAAAAATTTGTTAACTTGATTACCTTTCAACTAAATATTATTTTGTCAATTGTAAATATAAAAATATTTAAATTAAAATATAACATATCGAATCTAATAAAATATATATTTGACTTAAATACACTAATACTTATATGTTCAATTAACAAAATAGTAATTTCGATGAAAGGTTTGGTCGAGTTAACAATTATTTTTTCAGTGCGTGCGTCAATAATTATAATTTGAGAGATTCATATTTCTGAAAAGCTATCATCGTTAAACAAAATTCTTGTCATTAAATCCTTTCTCAGTTTTATCATACGTTTATATTTTAATAATATCTTCGACCGATTCACGACAATCTAGACTAATTAATTAATCTTAGACCAGAATTCGCGTTTAATGAATAACATAGTAGCGCGCGATGAAATATGAGCAGATGCTATTTCATTGGCGCGATAAACGATATCGAAATAATATATGCAATGTAAAATAGCTTTAATAAAATATCTCACTTGCTTTGCGATGTCTATCTCTCGCGTAAACACGAACCGCGTGTTAGCTTTAATATTTATGCGAATATAAATAATACGCGCGCACATATATATACATATATTATTACCAATAAAGATGACACTTCTCGATAATCTCGTTAAGATGAAGGAAGTTCACGGGGATGGTCTCCACCATCTTTCTCCAACATTTTTTACATCACGGCTATCCTATATCCGCGTGCGAATAAATATGTGCGAGCACCAAGTAACGAGTATGCAGGTCGGCGCATACATCCAGCGGGTATATGCCCAGAGGAAGTGAGACGAAGGGTGGCGAAAAGTCGTTCGGCGTGTAGGGTAAATAAAGTTTTAAATTTCCGCAACCCCCTTTCCTCCTGCACGCTGCTCTCCTCTCTTCTCCGGAGCCTCGACCGACGGCGCCTCCACTATCTGCATAATATATCTCTAATGTGGCGGAGGGAAAAGAGGGTGGCAAAACTTGCCTGCCGCGCTCCTTCGCCCGGTATAATGTAAGGCGAACTCCCCCGTGAGGGGATGGAGGGCGACTTCTGGTGAGATCCCGCGAGCGAGTAAGGCGGAGGCACGGTGCTTAAATAACGCGAGTTTGGATTTATAGTAATACTTTTATGAAATAATGTTAGTGGCGGATATTAAGGCAGACACTGCCTCGGAGCGTCGCTGGCTAAGCGCCATCCTGGGAAAACGCGTTCCTGTTCCTTTTCCACTTACCTTCCCGCCCCGACGCTGGTCCTCGATTTTGCTTCCGACGCGCCCGTGGAAAAACATCCGGCGACGATTTTCTCGCCCGTATCGGCGAGTTGGATTATTGATTTCTCGGACACGCGTGAATAATAGGAAGGAGGTCCTGTAAAGTATATTATGCAAAGTCAATAAAAGCGTTAACGTAACATTAAAAATTCTTCATTTCAATTTCTTTGAAGAAGATCTTTTATAAATATTTACTTTCGTAAAAAGTTTTCTTCAAAGTCAATTGAAATTAAAGACTTCATAAATATCACAATAAATTATAATAGAAAGAGAGAAAGAGGATAAGGGAGGATGCTTTAAGAAAGGAATTATATTATTTATTTGGTTATTTTCCCATGTTTTAGACAACTAATAACTAATAAGAAACACTATTTTTCAAAAATTATTAAAATGCTGCATTAAAAAAATAAAAAGTTTCTATTTTTGAATATACTATATTTTGGTCTTATGTACAAATTTATTAAATGCTCGATGGAAGAAAATCTTAGTAATTCAAACGTAAAATGTGGCACCGGGTCTCCGGGGTATTTTCGCGAATCGCGCAAGCAACCCCGTGGGAAGGGCAGAAACGATGATGGAGATCTGTGTATAACGAGAGAGAGAAAGGGAGAAAAAGAGAGGGAGAGAGAGAGAGTCGCACAAAATTCCGGCAAATGCTCTTTAATTAGCACACCACACTCGGCGAAGAAGGCGTCGGCATCGGAGATGGGGGAGAGAGAAAGAGAGCGAAGAGAGAAGGCACTTAAATAATTATCGTTTCGAAACGCGCGGAGCGGCGCGGCGCAAGCGGAGGCCGCATCTGTTTCTGATTTATTAATTAATATCAACCAACCCGCGGGGGAGGGAGAGGAAGAGCGAGAGGGGGAAGGAGGCCGCATTCGCATGAGCGAACTCGCTGCTCGCTCGCGTACGCAGTCTCGCACACATGCTCAAATATACGTACACGAGCACACGTGCACGCGGAGATATGCACGCGCACACAGTCGTATATACCTACGCGTACACGCGTGTCGCTCGCAGGGATAAAGAGAGCGGTACGCGCGACTAGAAAGCGCGCGCGCGCGCATAAGAGAGAGAGAGAGAGAGAGAGGGTGCGGTGTGTATATTCATATGTTGCGCAGAAATGAACAGAACGGGCTCGGCGGGCATTAAAATTAATGAAACGGACGGAACACGCGCGTTTTAACGAAAATGTATGTGGGCGATCAGGCGGAAGCGCTCGTTGTTTCTCTCTTTTCCTCTTTTCCTCTCCTCTCTCTTTCTCTCTCTTTATCTCTATCTCTCTTTCTCTATTCTGTTTCTCTTTCGGAAACAGGATGCTGGAAAACGCGCAAACGCTCCTGGGCTAACCACGAATACTCACCGCGTAATGTCTTTTCTCTGCGCACTTCGTCACCTCCGCTTTTTTGCCATGGTAGATATAGTGTCCCGCACACGTAGATAATGTCGATTGCGAGATATTGGAATGTCAACGGATCAAAGTTGTCCATCGTAGTGTATTTCTCTCTGTCGGCAGTCATATCTAAATAAACACAAGAAAATATAAGTAAAAATATTTCGAAATTATGTGGTTAATGAAATAACATGCAAATAAATAGAACAAGTTTATAAACTAAATTTCTATCAATTTTTTAATTGTTTTTTTTTTCTTAAATGGTGTTGTGTTAAATTTTGGTGTCTCCTTTCGTCGACACATTTTATAGAGTTATTTTTTAAAAATATCTTAACAATAAAATCTTGAACACATACATTTTTATCGAGTTCAATTTTTAAATTTTACAAAAAATTGATTTTTTAAATATTTCTTTACATTTTCATTGGTTGATTCATTAATTCATTTGTTTAGTGATACATACAATTATTGTTACAGAAATTATTTTAGTTTTCTGTGGAATATCATGTGCAACAATCTTAAGATAAGAAATATTGCATATAAATTATATTGATTTTCACCGAATGTAAAATCTACTCACGTCTCATTAATGTAATGATAAGTCTGCGAACGCAGTTGACGAAGACATTCGAGATGGACGATTTCTTAATTAAGAAACTTGACCGTGGATGGAGTCGCGGAAGTATCGCGACAGTGACAACTTGACATTTCGCCGTCGTCGAGGGTCACGCCGCACGAATATAAATTTCTCCATTATCCTAGTGATTAGTTCGCCAAGGGATGCACGAGATACTTCCTCGGCAGGCAAACCCATCAGATATTATTCCTGAAATGATAGACGTTGTTGAATATAGCTTTTTTGAGCGGAGGCGTATTTAGATCGTCGAAAATAAAGAACAATACACAGCACGTTCTATAATTAGAACAGAATTCTTTGATAAATTTTTGAAGATAAACATTCTTATTGCGAAAAATTGTACGAAAGTATCATTATGAAACCGAAAGTATATTCTCTTTCCCTCCTCTCTCTCCCCCTTTCTTTCTCAATCTTTCTTTCTCTCTCTTTTATTTACACCAAAAATGTATTATCTATTTAATGCGCGCAATATATTATCAAAATTCCATTTTTCTATAGCTCTTTCTACTATCTATTATACATTTACTTTTATTTATACTCTATTATGTACATTTTTCTACTATGAAAAAAGGGACGAGTCCAAGTTTGCCGAAGCATCGATATTTTTGATCCATGATGACATCTTTATTCGACTTGTTCTACAATAAATAGTTTGATCAACAGATTTTTACCTTCAAAACGCTTTCGCAGACGTTGCAATTAACACGATGATGAGTGAATTATCAGCTTTATATATCGTATCAAAGAGAAGAAAGCACGCGCAGTTATCCCGCCAATTTTCCGCGAAGAAATAAGGCTTTCACAAGCCTTGTAGCGCCATCTGTAGGACATCAAGGTTGCGTTTCGGTTGATGCTACTTTTGCTTCGATACATTTAGTGGACCGATCAAAAGAGAATCCTGTGAATGATACATAATTAATACCAAAAATGTTATTATCTAATTAATGCGCGCTGTATCATCATGAAAGTTGACTTTTCCACGTATATTTTCACCCTATCTACAAGCATTTACTTTTATTTATACACAATTATGTACACTTTTTTACTATAAAAAATGGACGATTCCCAGTTAGTCGGAGCATCGATACTTTTTATTCATATATAGCATCTTTATTCGGCTTGATCTGCGATGAATCGATTAATTAATGTACTCTTACCTTCAAAATGTTTGCAGGTGTTGCAAGAAGCACAATGAGTGGAGTATTAGCAGTATATATTTAATATCAAAGAGGACTAAAAGCGCGCGCAGTTACCTCGCCAAGTCTCCGTGAGGAAAGGCTTTCCGAGCCTTGTGCTGCCATCTGCACTCGAGGCGACATAATAAATTCTATTACCAACTGTCAGTTAAGTTGGTAGTGCTGCCATCTCTGAATGGACGAAAGGAAACAGCTCGAACATAATCTTATATATTTCCTAGCTCTTTAGCGTGGTATTTACACGTGTTTGATGTAAACGTGTATTAAATATAAATAGTTGTAATAAAATTCTTCGTTGTTAAATTACAGTGAAACAAAATGCAGCACGACGATGTAAGTAAAACTCTCTAATTAGAATTTTGTTTGTACATATATTTATGATGTTATACGATCATGAAAATTTTTCATCTTATACAGGTTGTGTGGAGTGTCATCAATAAATCGTTTTGTTCCTTCAAAGTAAAGTGAGTATATTCTTAAAGAATAATTGAACGTGTAATTAATTGTCATAATTGATATAATTGTAACATTTTCTTTACAGTACAAAGACACAGAGATTTTGCAGAAATGAGTACAACCTTACAGGTTTATGCAGCAGAGCTGCGTGTCCCCTTGCAAACAGTCAGTATGCTACAATTAGAGAGGAAAATGGTATTATTTATCTCTATCTAAGAACAGCCGAGAGGTGGGTTGTATATATTTGAATTTTGTACATTTATACATTGGCATTATTCTTAATAAGGTATATGTTTATATATGTAAATATTTTTTTTATTAGAATTCATACACCTAAAAATAGCTGGGAAAAAGTTAAGCTATCTAGAAATTTTGAGAAGGCGATACAACAAATTAATGAGAATCTGCTCTACTGGCCTGGTTTCATAAAGGCAAAATGTAAGCAAAGATTTCTCAAGATCACACAATATCTCATTCGTATGAGAAAATTCAGATTAAGACGACAAAAGAAGATTGTACCGCTTCAAAGAAAGATTGAAAGAAGGGAAAGACGTAGAGAAGAAAAAGCTTTAACTGCTGCAAGACTAGAAAATGCAATTGAGAAACAACTTATGGACAGATTGAAGAAGGGAATGGTAATATATTTATATTTGTCACTATTAGAAATTAGTTATATTTTGAAAATATAATTTTTAAACTTTGTATTTCAGTACAAGACTATTTACAATTTCCCGCAAAAAGCATTTGATAAAGCTATAGAAGCTGTTGAAGTTGAAGGAGAAAGCGAAGCAGAAGATGAACAGGATGAAGAACAAGAACAAGAAATTGATAAGGAACTGGAAATTGAATTAGAAGATGAGAGGAATTTGAACAAGATGGCCCACAATATATTGAAGCTGATAGCGATGACTATGACGATGACGACTATGAGGATGATTACATTGAAGAGCTTTCTATGGTTTGTAATAAAATAATTATTTATTTGAAAATATATAGCCTTTACACATTTTATTGCGTAGGATGAAGATAGTGATTCTGGACGGAGGAAGAAATTGAATTATCAGATAGTTTCGTATCTGAAGCCAGTGATATTGAGGTAAGAACTTTCTATTTCAAAATGAGCATATTACGTTATAACTCCTGATATAAATTACGCTTATCTCATTAGGACTTATTGAAACCATCTACAAGCAAGAAAACAAAAGTGCCGAAAGTTGTCAAAAAAGGAAAGGCACAGAAAAAATCACGAGCGAGAGTAGAAATCGAGTACGAGATGGAAGAGAACAATCGACAAAAAGAACGAACGTAACACAATTGTGTAAATATTATAATTCTACGTTTTTAATAAAAAATTACCTAAACGTTCATATATTTATTATTTAATATTTTAAAATAACGTAATAACGTGATAATCGTTAATTCAATGATATTTGAATCGTCAGTACTTTGGTACAGTTTTGAGCACATTAAATATTAGAAATATACATATAGAAATATATATATATGTGCATGCGTGTGTATATTATATGCAATATTCTGATAAAAATTTTTATATATATATATATATATATATATATATATATATATATATATATATCATATATAACTATAAAATTATATAAAATATAGAAATTATAAAATTTTGTATATAAACTATTGCATAATTGTATATAATTTTACATGACATATAAGAATCAGCCAACACTAATATAAAATTATAAATAATTATGTAATAAATTATATAAAATTATATAATTATGCATAGCTTATACGGAATTTTATATAATTTAATGTTATATATTATATATGATTATATATAAAAAAAATTTTTTAGCAGAATATGCGTTCAAATCTTCCGCCCACAATGAAAGCGGAAGCGCCCAACGGAAGAAGCGCGAAAACTCTTGACAACGTAAACGGTGGATGGTACATACATCTCATTAGGGAAGAATCGGGACGTTTGTGTAGCAGACGATACGATTAATTGTGAAAAAAAGGTAAAGTCCGCGCGGTCGTTTATCGCGATCAAAAACAGGAATATCTCTCGCGATTTGTCTCGCACGCTTCATTGTTATACCTAATCGAAATTGCGATCGTGATTCATTAGCGGGGCGTTAGTCTGCAGTGCTTCAGCATTGCGCATTCGTCAAGATTGTCACGCACGTTGACGTTTACTTTTCGTCGTTCGCCGATATCGGCTTCTTCAGCGTATATTGGATTTAAAAAAAGAAACGCGAACACATAAAAACATGGTGAATCGTTCGCGGTAAAATGTGACCACAAATTGCTCCAATTTCATCTCTTTGCTTGTGCTATTTATAGAGCAAGTAGGTTATTTGTGAAATATTCAATCTCAACAATGAAAATGATAACATCGAAACGACACACAGTGAATAATATCAAATTAATTTTTAATATCAATATGTGTATGTGCTATTATTAATCTGTGTAATATGTGCATATATATGTATATATATATATTTTTTTTTTATATATGTGTGTGTATGTATATATATACATATGTATATATAACGTAATATAATATATTTCTGCAGAATGTTTTCGATGACACGTTGGAAATTAAGATATATGATCTTGTTGCTCTCGTTAATCTAATAAGAAAACCGCATGATTTGCCTTGATTTACGATTTGCTTGGTGTTCAATCCTGTGCTTTTATCAAGCAATTAATGTGATAAAGGGGGTCGGGGGGTGCAGAGTTATCAATGCATTCATTGAACGGATTATCTTTATCGAGCAAGTTTCGCAATGTCCTTCCGTTCTCTTCTCTCGTATAGAGCGTGTCGTTTTATTCTAATTATATCTCGTATTTTCGCGAGCACACAAGTGTCAATTCCTTCGAGTTTCTTAAGCGCGCGCGAAATATTAATTGTAATATTTGATTAATGATAAATTCTCTGAAATATATCAGCTGCGGAATAGAGCAATCTGTGATTTCTTTTCATCAGGCACATAAGGTCATGTCAAGGATCATGGAATAAGTTTGAAAAGCTGGAGAGCAACATGAATCTATGCCGCACAATTGTCTGACTGGGCTCTACTCTGAGTTACATGTCATTGCTTTGCGCACAAATGCCAGAATGTTAAACAGCACTGCTAATATGGAACTAAATAATGTGGGAAGCAACAGAAGATCCATATATCTTGCACTATCATTTCGAAAACTGTGTCTGGCAACAGTTGGCTTACCACTTTTATCCCTGTTATTCTGTTTCATCACGGCATACATATTTCAACAGGATGACATTCATGAAACTCACTGTAGGGTAAGCGCAAAATTTTATATCATGTTAAATAAGCGATGTGTATTTATCTAATGTGAAAATCATATCTGTTTCTTTGTTAAAGGTTTACAATATTCTTCCATCGATCTCAGCCATTACTGGCGTATCTCCTCAAAGGTATCTATGGCGTATCAGCATAGCATTACACATTGGACCTAGACTGGTTATTGCCAGTGTTTATCATTCATATTATTACAACATACTTAAGAGCATTGAAGATGTGCCTCAAAAAATTATGGGGAGCAGGCTCCTAAATTTATGCTATTGGCTAAATATTGCTGAGGTAGCAGCTTTGTGTGGTGTAACATACATTTCTAACAGAGAAAATTATTGTAAGTAATTTATATAAAAGTTCATATGCTACTAATACAATCAAAGTGATAGATATGATGAATTCACTTTAATAAACAATACAAAATTTTTATTACAGCGGTGCACGAAAAAATTTTCATAGTGTTCATGATTAGTTCGCTCACATACATGCTGACCGCCGTAAGATTGGGTCGCCTAATAACTCCAAATGCACAAAGCCTTCAGTACAAACAGGCGCTTTTTATGATGAGTCTCGTCAGTACAATTGGTCTTATTATCTTCTTCTTGAAACATCGATTGCTGTGTCATGATTTGGGTAAGAAAAAAATGAAATCTTAAATATTTACATTAGCTTAAATGAAAACATAAAAAATTAAAAACAAATTTATTATTTTGAACAGCATTTAGTTGGTTCTCGCTATGTGAGTATGTGATAGCTTTTGCAAATATGGGCTTTCACATCACTGTGGTTTTGGATTTTCCAAAAGAACAACTGATTGTAGGTCACGATTTACCTGCCGCGAAAATAGATTAACCTTTTAGGATAATTCATCATTCTCATTGTCATATTAAAGTGCCTATTGCCTCTGCATGGAAGTGCTATAAATCATGGTTTTCAAGAGGTGAACATTCGGCACAATACACGATACACAATTTCACGATTATCTCATTTTTATGATATTTTATAAAATTACAATGTGTTCTATATATTGTTGAAATTGACATGATTTGCTTCCTGCGATTTTTAAAAGAGTGAATTCTCTATATATATTATATTTACATTTATATTGCAATATTATATATTTACATTTATATTGCAATTGATTATAACATTTGATTAGTACTTTTGTGAGTGTAAAGGGATGTATGAATTGTGAGAAAAATGAGATGGAAAATCTAGCGCTTCCAAAATGTGGCACTGGTTACTTTCAAAACGATGAAATATGTAACGGCCTTTTAATATTGGTTAGCAATAGAGTGTATGATTATAGTATACAATGGTTTAAAAAGTATTCTACATACAAACAGCATTTAATGTTAGTGTAAATTTAATATTACTGCATCATATGAGATTACTTCTAAAGACTTTTAAATCTTTTCTTTATAGAGAGGCTTTTACAAGGTGAGAATTCTAGTCAACATATTAATTCTAGTCGCAATATATTCGCTTTATGCTATTCTTCATGTCATAAGTTGAATTGTGCAATGTAAAGTTATATCAAATGAATTTAAGATATAATTACGATTATTAAATGTATATAACTTTGAATTATTACAAAGATATAGATATATAACTCTGTCTTGTTGACAAATCTCTCGAATAGAAATCTTACATGAGTTACATACATTCACCTTGTAAGAGATTAATTTATCTTGTATAGATTTTGTGAGATAACGAAATCGACTAATATTTATAAGCTGTTCTGTTCGGTATTATTGTATTACAAACGTAGGATAATCTCTTCTATGTTTGTATGTAGTATACGATAGTCTGATAGTATATAGCAATTATCCAAACACTAATGATTAAAGCAGTCACAATCGCAATTAAAATATTTAAACGGGGATTGCATTCAGACCAGTTTTTTCAAGAGATATGATCTAAATTTCTCACGCAAATTTATAAGACGAATGTTAAAAAACAAAAATTTCTAAAAAATTTTACAATTAAAACCCCCGTACATCTCTTGTTTAAAACATAGATGTATATATGTATACGCGAACAAAATAATATAAAATTTTAAGCTTTCATCATTTTTAATAATCGGAAATTATTCATGACTAAATATCTATTTATTAAAAATTGAGTCTTCAATTATTATTTCAAAATACAGTGTAATTACGAATAACAAAGTAAATTGGATTTTATTGAGCAGTTTTTGACAAAGTGAAATGTCCGGTAAAGAGTATCTTGCAAAGAAATTCATAAATAAAATTTGTTGTTCAAAGTTTATTAGAAATTATATGCAGTAGAACTTTCACAAAATAATTTTCGGAAATCTTGTCTATGCTCTTCTGTCAAAAAAAATTGCATGAAATGTCAAAATAAAGTTTCATATGTGCGAAAATAGACTTGCGGAATCTGTTAAGAGAAGGAAGTCTGTAATATTTAAAAAAATTGTGCGAAATATCTCTTGATATTTGTATCAATAAGCAAAATAGCGCTTATTTATTACATGTGTATTTATAATAAGCAGATGATACGTTATTGCGATATATCTCTTAGGATTTCGTTATAAAGGCCGATAGTTTCAATGTAACTCTAAATAGTACTCGCAGTTTAACGGTATCATTTTTGCACATTTTTACACTGAAACGTGAGATAATTGTAGCATATTTTGATATGACGAATTTTCGTTAAGGTTCCTTGTATGCAATAATTTGATAATAGAAAAGAAGGAGAAAACGAACACTGTACATTTATTGCTAGTTCTTCATAGATACACGATATATTTGTAACCACGTTATCACGTAAAGATGGTAGCTTTAGATAATCTTTATAATCATTACGAAAAAGGAACGCTTTTTCTTGTTTGTTACAATCACCCGAATGTAACATCTCGATAGTTCCTATTATATATGGAACCATTTTTATACATTATCACAATGCAAAAATTAATGCTTTCATAGTAGTCTTACTTGATTCATTGATACCGTTATTGAATTCTAATCTGCGCCAAGTGATGCATTAAAGATATATCGTGGAATTTTACGTCAGAAACTGCGGTCATAAATAATTATATCTAAAGGACTTTAATGAATCATTTGTAGTTCACGCTTCGTTGAGCAACTACTTCGCGATCACTGCTCTTTAAATACACTTGTAGCAATAATTGAGAATTTTTTCTGTATCGTATCTTTTATTTCGTTAAAGAAATAAGATTCGAAGAGCATTAATATGATTGAATTGATTATAATGGAACGTATTCATCCTAATAAGTCGTGAGCTTACATTAGGCACTCTTAGAATACAAATGTAAGTACATCAAGAATTGCGCACTTATTCTTATAGATCGCTTAGCTTAATTTTTAAAATCAAATTTTACTTCTTAAATATATAACTAAAATTGTGGTGTAAGCTATCTGTCTCTATCTTTAAAACTTAAATAATTCTGTAATTAGGCATTAATTTTTTCCTAAAATAATTCTCTTCGAAGTTTCGAAATAATTGAATGGAGATGTGCGATTTCTGATGTATCTTATATGTATTGTTAAATGATGGACATTGAATACATGAATTATGTTGGAAGTTGAATCTCTGAATATATGTATACATTTGCATATGTATACATATATATGTATATGTAAAAGTAGAAATTAATAACATATAAAAAATCTTTTTTACATAAATGTAGCGTTAACTTGCAGAAATAAGTTCTATAAAACTATCGCAAAACGAAAAATTTTGGTAATCAAGTTTTTCTTGTGCTAATCTTTTTTGTTTGTACAAGTCACATGTTAGAAAACATGAAATGGATACAATCCCACCGATATTACTTTTGCAAGTATTAATATTGCAAAATGATGCTTCCAAAGAGTATGCTAAACATTTATTTAGCAACAATGCTTTTTTGTGATTACACTCGATAGTTGCACATGTGGCGATTTATCGATATTCATAAATTTATTGCTAAGATATTAACACACCCTCAGAGTGATTTGAAAAACCTAGCGAGAAATGAGTTTAAGTGTTGAAAAGTGTGAAGGATATTATTTGCGCTGTGTTACCTTTTTTCTGAAAATATATATTTTCTTTCCTATACCGACAATAGAAGCTTTTTAGGATGGAAGTTCTGAAAACACATATTTAAAAATTTCGTCATATGAATTTTTACACATTGGCGATAATAACTAAACATATCTTTCAAGAATTTCTATCATATTCGAAACTTTCTCTTTTTTCGCTGTAAATAATGCTAACACACGATATATAATTATATCTTGTATAAATGACGGAGTGGATATCAACGGCACGTTAAACAAATGGCACGACAATTTTCCCTTCATTAGTATGGCAATTTAAATACAGATTTGAAGCAAGCAAAATCTTTACACAACTCACACTGTCGAGTCGCAGCTATTTTTCTGCAACTCGTATTTTTCAAAATCATTTTGCTACTGAAACACTTTTTCTAATTTACATGATATGTATCGAAATTATATCGATAAACGATCTCACTGAAAAAATTACTCGTTGTATTTTGGGTAATTGATAATTCTGTGATAATAAGCACAAACAGCTTCGCTATATACCACTTTATACAAGTTTTATTTTTTCTTAAGAATAACTTTTCCATGTCTACCGTTCTTATTTTTCTCTTCAGATTATTTGAAATATATTTTACTTATATCTTATGCATGCCAAAAGTTTTGATTGTATATTATCACAGAATTTTCATTTTCCTGAAACATTTACTCATATTTAACGACGAATCGAGTAGTGAATTTGTATATTTACGAATTATTATTAAAGTAGGCAATTAATTAATCAAGTGCAGTAAATATTTAGTAAGAAAATAAATCTAGTTAAATAGTATTATAATCTAGCCTTAATATAATCTGATTTTGTGAAATCTTATCAGGAAAGGTACCATTGAATTTGCGCCACATTATATAACTTATTAAATTCTTTCACGTATATGTATATGTATAAATTAAATTCTGCGGCAAATTTTCAACCAAAATCTTTCAGGCAATACTTCGAATTGAAAATTTTCGCGAAGTGAGAGGCAAATTTACGTCCGACATCTCTGATAGCTCTTTTTATCTCTGCGCCACAGTCTTATGTATCATAAATCAGAGAGAGATTTAATCGAGCCTCAAATCCAACCGAAACCTGCATTGCCGAAGGTAATTGAACTCTGTTGACCTTAATGTAAGAGAATAAACTGGCGCGATTAAATGGCCATCGTGTGACACGAATGAGAGAGCTCTTTCGTCGTCCTCTCGCGTAACTAAATTTAATAAGTTATTTCCTTCGGCCATACCTAAAGATTGGACGAGGGCTCGAGCATTCTGTTCATACGGTTCATCACTGATTTTACATCACTGTATGAAATAGCTGTATTTTCCTACACAATACGGTCGAGCATCGATACGATGTAATATTCACTCCGATACTCTGTATTTCCGATGAATACACGACCGCTGTATTATAGTGTATATTTCTTGTAATCGGTTTATAGGGCAGGTGCTCTATACTGTGATTAAAAGTGTTTCTGTGTATGTGATGACTTGTAACGGGTTACAACACTGATTTCGATCAGGACAAGAATGATTTCTATTTGTATTGCGAACGATTGTCAAGTAAATATTACCGTACACAACCAGCAATGTGTTTTCTTATTAATCTACAATAAATAATCCATTCTTTCAGGAACTATATAATCGAACTAATTTTAAAACAGATATAATTTGAATATCTTCAAATATATCTAACAATAAGTATTGATAAATTCAAGAATATCTAGTAAACATAATTTTTATATTTTTCATAATACAATGCAAAAGTGCATACATTTTTTCTTATGCTTATCGAATATTGCATTATTCAAAATTATATCTATTTTATTTTTTATGAAAATTCTATAATACTGTTCTATAATACTTGTTTTGCTATATTTACCTATCTTTCTCTTATCTTATGTAATATTTTTAATAAAATATAAAACAAATAAATCAAACCTGTAAAAGTTTTTTTCTCATTTTATCGAAGTACGAGTAATGGAGAGTTTAGATCCGATTCTCTTTCTTGATTGCGTAGAGGATAGACTTCCATTTTTTTGTGAGAGATTCGCTAAATCCTTTGTGAATAATGGAGAATCACGTAACTGTGCGCTTCTATTTTCTGGCGAATCTGTAAGCACATTTTTCTTATGTAAGCATATTTTGGTTGAAAAATTCGGTTGAATTGTACAGGTGGATTTTCAAGTGTTTAACATCACTGGAAACAGATTCTGTATTTATTTAAAAACTTATTTATCAATGCCAATTTTTATTTTCCAAGATTTTTCGATATTTAAACGTGATATTAAAACACATTTAGCATATGAAATATTTTAAAGTATAATACATAATTTTGTAACGTATACGTTTGTACAGTTGTTGTCGTTAATATTTTTCATACAATTTTTTTACAGTTTCTCTTGAACATAAACTCTTTACTGACCTAGTATTAAAATATGTTAGCAAAAAAATATAATCGGACATTTTTAATGATATTTTATGCTGTTTAAGTTATAATTTATAATTGAACTTTTAATTGATCATGTAGAAGCTATTGATTCTCTTTGATTGAAATAAATATTTTAATATCTCTCTATCAGTGATAATTAAATTAGATCAATATATACATATGTTTTATCTATCTCTCTATCAACGTACCATTCTTCTTACAATTAGACAAATCACTTCTTGTTCCAGGCATCTTTAATCTGGAAATGTTTGCATTCTCTTTGATCGCATCGTTTCTTCGAATATCGTTTTCCACAGATCTCTTTTCCAAAAGTCTAACTTTTGTAGAAATCGCTGACGACGATTCGACGCATCTTCTGCATCGCCATACAAATCTAGGATCGTAAACGTCGATGTCGATGACTGGGGGTTGATGGCACAACGGATGGTAAGTCTCTTGACACTCTTGACACTCCAGCAAAATTAAAGGTCCCAATTTTGCGCCGTTGCAAATCTTGGATTTTATAAACCGCATACAGATGTATACAATTTCAATAGCGCGACAGCTTGTGATGGCAAATCGCAACGATAATCAATAATGTGTTATCTTATGTGTAATTTACAAACTGAATCGCAAAAGTTTAATTGAAGAAAAAAACCTTGCAGACAGTCCCATCGTTGGAACCTTCATCGGGAATCGAGATCCTAGGAACGCTTTGATCATCGCAGCAATCCTCATAATTGATCTCGAACACTTCCATGTCAATCGTTCGAGAATCCGCGATGTTCTCCGTCACGTCAGATTCAAGAGAGGAAACATCTTCGAAACCGTCCCAGGTCTCGTTTTCCATCATTTCGTTACATCGTTCTTGGACGCGTTTCTTTGACATTCTTGTCGAAGCGGTTGCGTCGGTATTTGCAAAAATCTTCTGGGCATTCTTGCGGCCAAAGTTTTACCGGGGCCGTATTTCTTCTCGATACAGGCATCCAGCATTCGACGAAGCTCCTCGGCACTATTTTCATCAGTCGAATGCAATAACGCCAAGGCGTTGAAAAAGTCCTCATTGGTGTATGTGTCGGACATGCTCTTCTCGGTATGCATTTCTTGAATCTGGACAATTAATGTATGAATATTAATGTTTGATGTACTGAACTCGATAGTAATTATGATTTAAATTACTATACTATATATTATTATATATTATCTATTAATATTATACATCTATTATATATTATTAAAATATAAACCGTAAATCATAAAAATCAATTTAAAAGAAACATGTAAAATCATGAGAGAATATAGAACAGTAATAACTTTGAAAGAAAGAACAAATTATGTGCTTTATCTCTTTGAATTCTGTGAAATATTTTTTTTCGTACCAGACAGAGTTTCGCTTCGCTATAATAGCTGAAGGTTAAAAAGCCTCCGAGACAGTTCAAATGTCTCGGATTTGACATTGTTAACTTACATACGACAATGTGTTCTCGACGAATTAAGGGCGATCATGCACGAAGGAGTGTAAGCGGCAAGTGGTCCTGCGGACTGGTAACAATCTTGGGAATTGTACGGATCAGGACGTTCTACGGATTTAGATATGCGAATAGTATCCCGGGACGGACGTTCGTCGTGAAATGTGCCGAAGGAAGGTGGCCGGCATTTATCGGGCTCTATCGTCGACTCGCTGCTTGTATATCGACGGAATCGCATCGACGACGCACCATTGTTCTCATGACTGTTTGCTAATAGAATCCAACGCTTATGGTCGTCGTTCTCCCGGGGATCAGATACTGGACATTGAATATTCAACAAACGATGTTGTCGGACTATTGACATGAGCGCGTCATCATCATCCTCTCTGTAATTTGAAGAAAATCTCACTCGCGAGTTACGATTCTCGGTCATATGACATATGAAATCTTTAAATATAGGTATTTAACCCTCAGCTACTATAAATATAGGTATTTAACCCTCAGCTATTATAGCGACGCTCTCTACATAGAATGAAAAAAAAAAAAAAACATTTCACAGAATTTAAAAAGATTAGGTACATAATTTGCTACTTCTTTCAAAGTTTAATACTGCCCTGAATTCTTTCATAATTTTATAAGTTTTTAAAAATTGATTTTTATATTTTACAGTTTATATTTTAATAATATATAATCAATATATAATATTAATAAATAATATATAATAAATATATAATATTAATAGATAATATATAATTATATATAATAGTTATATAGTATATAGATAATATATAATTATATATAATAGTAATTTAAATAATAATTAATATCGAATTCAGGTCAGTACATTAAACATTAATATTCATATACATTAATTGTCCAGATTCAAGAAATGCATACCGAGAAGAGCCGACACATACATCAATGAGGATTTCTTCAATGCCTTGGTGTTATTGCATTCGGTTGATGAAAATAGTGTCGAGTAACTTCGTCGAATGCTGGACGCCTGTATCATAAAGAAATATAGCCCCGGTAAAATTTTGTGAAATGAGTAATTAAAAATTATATTTGGTGCAGAGAAACTTATTAACATTCACACATAGTATTAACTCATAAAAAGTTGAAGAAAATACATCTTTATTTTTTAATTTAAGATGAATGCTTTCTATTTTAATATATTCTTACGATTGTTTCTTTTATATTTTCTTGTGCTTTTGTACTATATGTGTATTATCAATCAAATACAAACACGATTTTTTAAAGTAGTAAAACCATTTTCTGGACATCCGTGTTCGCGGATTCTTATACAAGATGCTCTCTCCGCTCCCTTTGTTTCTTCAGCATCAGCTTTTCTTAGGCTTGCATTCGTCACGGGCTTTTTCAAGGGCTGTATTAATAAGTTCGTACGTTCTTCCTCACGCTTTTTCGGAGCTGGGGAGGGGAATGAGAGCGAGCGGAAAAGCATCCAATTATCATGCCCGATGCCGGGGTTTCTCACCCTGCACAAGCTCGGTACCAGAATCGACTGGAATCCGGTCGGGAAGCCGGGCCCGGTAGACGTCGAACGAGTGGGATTATTCCGCGTCCGGGTTCGGGGCCGAGCGGGGGCGAGCCGAGGGAACAATGTCGGAAACGACGGGGACGGTATGCCGAGATATGCAGGATATCGCGCAGAACTGCGATCCTTCGAAGTCTGAGCGAGAGAGCTATGAGGATACAGCAGTGGCGCAAGTATAGTGAACCAGATATGTACGCTCCACAGCTGAGCGAGAGAGAGAGAGAGAGAGAGAGAGAGAGAGAGAGAGAGAGAGAGAGAGAGAGAGAGAGAGAGAGAGAGAGAGAGAGAGCGAGAGAGAGAGAGAGAGAGAGAGAGAGACGAGAGAGAGAGAGAGAGACGAGAGAGAGAGAGAGAGAGAGAGAGAGAGAGAGAGAGAGAGAGAGAGATCTGAGAGAGAGAGAGAGAGAGAGAGAGAGAGAGAGAGAGAGAGAGAGGGATGAAAGGGGGTTGGAAAAGAGAGAGAATACGTTTCTCCAAGTGTATTAACTCACCGAAACGAGAAGCGAGAAAGGAACAGAGGGAGGTGAAAAGGGAGAGAAAAGGGAGTGGAAAATAGAGAGAGAGAGATATCTCGCTCGCCGAGCACCGCCTAAATATGTAATAATATCTACGGGAGATACCGGCATTCCCCGACCTCGAGAAGAATTCGATCAAAATGTGTCGCGATACTCTCCCGGTATGCCAGGTGAGGTACGCGTTCACCTTCCCATCTCCTCTCGCCCTCCTTCAGCTGCTGCTTCCTCTTCTCTACCGCTTCTCGACCCTTTCGACCCTTTCGCATTCGCCCTACTCCGTCATCGCGTCTCCCCCGCGTCTTCTTCCGCTTTGTCCTCGTTTACACAGGATCGGATACAATAAGCGCGTCATACGCATCCTTGCGCAAACTCGTTCAATCTCTCTGCGAAATCTCAATCAAAGAAACGCACCGGTGAAATCTTCTACGAAACTTGCGAAAGTCATCTCGGAAATCTACAGCAGCCGCCTTTCAAAATTACCTAAACATACACAATAACGTATTATAATATATTATCTCTATAGATTATAAATAATTTATACACCTATTTTTATAATCAAATCAATATTAGAGATGCAAAGAAAATTTAATAATATTAGCCCTATACATAATTATACCTATTAATATATTAGAAGTATTTAGTAAAGTTATGATTATAATTTATAATAGTCAACATTAAAGATGCAAAAAATTCAATAACATTAGTCCTATATATTATAAATAATTATACCTATATTAATATATTAGGAGTATTTAATATAAGTGATGATTAGCTTCTACGAAACTTGCGAAAGTCATCTCGGAAATCTACAGCAGCCGCTTTTCAAAATTACCTAAACATACAATAACATATTATAATATATTATCTCTATAGATTATAAATAATTTATACACCTATTTTTATAATCAAATCAATATTAGAGATGCAAAGAAAATTTAATAATATTAGGCCTATACATAATTATACCTATTAATATATTAGGAGTATTTAGTAAAGTGATGATTATAATTTATAATAAAGTCAACATTAATAGAGGCAAAAAAATTTAATAACACATTAGCCCTATACATAATTATACCTATTAATATATTAGGAGTATTTAGTAAAGTGATGATTATAATTTATAATAAAATCAACATTAATAAAAACAAAAAACTTTAATAACACATTAGTCCTATATATTATAAATAATATACCTATATTAATATATTAGGAGTATTTAATAAACTGATGATTATAATTTATAATAAAATCAATATTAGAGATGCAAAAAATTTAATAATATCCCTATATATTATAAATAATTATGCCTATTAATATACTAGAAGTATTTAGTAAAGTGATGATTATAATAAAATCAATATATATATATATATTAAAGATGTAATAAAAATTTTATAATATTACAAACCTTGAGCAATCTTATAGAAATCTTTCTCGAAATATAAATCTAAAGAACATATAAAAATCATAAATGATATACCAAATTTTACTGCAACTGAAGTGATAGTATTGATAAATAACATTATGATCCATTTATCAATAAAGTATAAATAATACATTGCAAAACTCAGGTTAGATTAATTTAGGCTTGTTCGATACTTAGACGCGACGATCGATCAATGTCATCTATACAATTACAGTGCGATCGTTTTAAAGCACAGCTGAGCGCTGTTTACCCTTACGTCACGGCGATCGGCCAATCACAGTCGAGTACGGTTTACGATTACGGTGCAACGTGCGACCATCTTGATTACACCTGACCCCTGCTTACTGGTCTATGATTACGTCGCGGCGACCGGCCAATCACAGCGCGAGATTAATATCTTGAGATATTCAAACGCGAAATACAGCAAGTAACGCGCCAACCGTCTTCGGGTCCTCGTCCTTTGTCGTGTCGGTCGTTCGAGTTTCGGTGAATTTCGCGAGTGTTTCGCGATCCTGCTTGGATCAGATGGTCTCGTTCGCGGTAGAGATCGAGGCGGAATAATCGAACGTAAGAGGCGAGGCCTGAACGACGAAAATCCGGCCGATTCGTGCTCCAAATGCATCGGATGCGTTTGTCGGTCGCGAGTGCCGGGAGTGCCGTATTAATGAGCGATTAATTTGTGTGTTTTCTTCGGGCGGTTTAAAGCGGAATAAATCCGCAAGTGTCTGTGAAGTGAAAAGAAATCAGAATAGTGTTACTGGTGTGTCAGCCAGCTCAAGTGCCTTTTGGTGGATTACAGGAAGAAAGCAACGCTACCTCCTCCCTCACCTCTTCACCCCCTCGTGTCGTGATTCGTCGGCCGGTGAGTGAATTTTTCGTGTAATTTTGCGTTATCAGTTGTTTCAGGCGCTCCCGATCATTGTTTAATCACGCTTTCGTTATTACTCTCACGATATTTCGGCGTGAGACATTGGATCTTCGTATTTTCTTGAGAAAATAGGCGACATGTACCGAGACTATAAGAGTCGACAAAATGGCGGCGTATTGATTTTAGAGATTATAGATCGCGGTCGGTAATTGTTGAATTTATCATATGAGGTGTCATTACATTGAATAGCGTTTATCGACTCTGCATTTTTCCGCGAATTATTGATACAATGCGGTGACAAGTATCATATGATAAAAAAGATCACATCTAGGTCCGCAAATATTTTTTTCGCAGAAGTTGTTGTCCTTGAACAAGATAATATTTTTTCTCTGAATGCAATCTCCATCGATGACCTGGGTACATACATACATTATATGTATCTATTTACAAAAATTTTATTGAAATTAAATAAGCTGATATTTGGAGATATTAAAATTAATATATTGTTCAAAAAATATATAAAAATACATACATTACTCAAATAAAAATATACATAATATTATTGAAATTAATATAGTTATACAATATAATTTTATTGAAATTAATTATAAGCCAAGTTGTGAGACTTTTTTAGAGAAATTAATTTTGAAATTAATATTTTACTCAAAAAATACATTGCATACGTATACATACTAAAAATAAAAAATATATATATATTATTATTGAAATTAATATTGATGATATATTTTTTGAAGTATTGATATATTAATATTTCCATTCAAAAATATACTGTATACAAAAAAAAATATATATATATATATATATATATGTATATATATATATATATATTAAGAGTTTAACAATATATACATATATATATATATATATATATATATATATATATATATATATATACATATACATAATATGGTTGAAATTAATATATTAATAACTGTATATATATATTATCTACAATATATAAATTGTATATTTTTTTCTGAATGAAATATTAATTTTAATGTCTCTAGTCTGATAAAGAAACAAAAAATGCAATATCTTTATTGCATTTTATATTTCGATTTTGTTCATATTTTATTTTCATAAAAAATAAAATATATCTTTAATCTTGTACATCTCGTATATCAGTAAATAAAATTACAAATTAAATTTACAAAGAGAAGGTAAGAGGAAGAAAATAAAATTTTGTCAGTATACGTTAAAAGTTTTTACATAAAGAAACAATAATTTTTAATGTCGCTTACCGCGAAGCGATTCCATCTAAAAGAGAAAATCTTTATATTGCAAGAGCGGCGTCTCTCTGCTTTTAAGTGCAGCAGGAATTTCCGAATGCGCCGTTCGCGTGATATTTTAATACTTTATACCTGACGGTCCTTGCGAGTAAATCTCTGCCATGATAAGACCTGCCAGGAATCTCACTCTCGCGGAATATCTGCCGTTTATAAGAAATGTTTTCGAAGTTTATGAGGGCGACGCGTAGTCTTGGTATGGGGTGGATCTAAAGCTTTCTCTCTTTTTCTCTCTCCTGCATTCTTTTTTTATTCTCCCCTTTTTAAATAAAAGCAACGCCGATAGAGGAAAGACGCCGTGCAAAACTGACAATAAAATTACGTTGTCATCGCTAAAATATCGTCGAAAAATGCGAGGAGAATCTTTCCATCGAAAATTTGCAGCAGCAATACAATATAGTGATTTTATATATACGCACTGTGTGCAATTATTAAAGAGTTGTTTTGAGTTGTTATTCCGAATGTTATTCATTTTAGATCTCTAAGTTCAAAAAGCGAGTGTAGTTTGCAAATAACAGTTGTGTGCAATGTTGAAACTTTCTGTGACTTTGCGGAACAAAAGCATCGTGCATGCCTATGATTTTGGATATGACATTACGGTTTACAACATTTCTGAGTTGCACCGGCTAACGCGATGTCCATCTAAACATTGTTACAATGTTACAAACTTAGACGTGAACTAGGATTAGCTGTTTTGCGTATCACAGGTATAGCTTCAAACCTACATATAATGTATGCATAATGAATGCATCTCGCGCGAGATAATAGCCGTGTTGACGGCTACTATAAATTATATTTTTAAATAGCAAAATTATATCTTGTGTGGCTTCTCTTTTTAATTTACGCGAATTAAAGGAATCAATTATATTAATTTTTCTATGAATGTCGTTCAATCTTTAAAAGATCCATCGAAAAATTTCTGGCCTTCTTTTGTCTCTTCTTGTTTTCAATATCTAAAATTATTTAGCTGCATTTCGAAGGCACAACTTTCACTTTTAATTTCCTTTCGAAATCATTTAAAATGTGTGGCTGAAAATAAAACGAAGCGAAAGAAAATGATTCTTCTGACTTATCTCTTCCTGTTCCTGATATCTAAGGTTATTTAGTTATATCTCGAAGACACAACTTTCACTTTTAATTGTCACTTTCGAAAATTATTTAAAATGTGCGGCTGAAAATAAAGAACGTAGTGAAAGCAGAGTCAAAAAGATCGAAAAAAATTCCCGACTTCGAAAAGATGATGAAAATTTATATAGCTTCGTGTATAAAATGACTTTCCGTCGATTCTTATTAATTCATCTATTTTTCGCAAACTTATGTCTGACTCGTGCATAACGACGCTCGTGATGTCGAGTCACCGACGCTGCAGATTTCTTGCAGGAGTCAGGTGCGGAGCGTCGTCTCTCGCGGTGCGTTGTGTGTCGATGAACCTACACCCATCTTCCGAGTAAAGTCAACAGACGCGACTGAATGCAAAGTGCATCGTTGCATAATGCGAAATTGCGCGAGCAACACTTCTTTTTACGACACGTAGATAGGAAGAGAAAGAAAGAGAGCGGAGAAAACAAAAAAATATACAGGCATGTATATATTTTTTATATAGGTATATGTCACTATATGGCGCTAATGATTATCCGATGGTGTAACAGTTGATTGCTGTAAATGATATGATGAAAAGATTATTATTTTTTTCCCCTTTCCGCCAGCATTGTTTCCGCGCTTTTCAATTAATTATCTTCGATATCGTCGCGCAAACCAGCGTTCCGCGGAGCAGTTTTACGACTGTCGACGTTAAATAGGATTCGCGGCATACCGACTATGCCGTACCTTATGCCCGGATCAAAATAGCTTGAATACGCGCAGTAGGGTGTAAAGAGAGGGATAATTGTCAATTTCCTCGCGAACGAAATTCCATATGCCATGCATTAAAATAAGATAAGCTCTGTCCTCCTGCGTTCTCTCTCTTTCTCTTTCGGTCGCTTTTTCCCACCTATTAAAGCTCTCGCTCTTCTAATTACCGTTAGGAAATGCGTTGTCGGCGTGGCAGGGTGGCTTCGGAAATTAAGTGTTTAGCGGAATTTCTATCGTTATCTGGGTGTTACAACGTTCTCTCTCTAGTTTGCGACAAAGGAAGAACAATTATCGGCTCTATGCGGGCTCTAGGTAACCAGCCTTTTATCGCCGAGCACATATGCAGTTATGATTACGCGTATTTCCGATACCGTAAATATAATGTACGTCAGCAGATGTATAGTTTTGCATCGGAGTCAAGATAGTGATAGAGAAATTTGAAATACCGCGGATTCAAAATTAATTATTTACATATTTTTAGCTTTTTCAAATTGTGACATCAGAAACGAGTTATTTACATATTTTGAGCCTTTTCAAATTGTGACATCAGAACCGAATTATTTACATATTTTTAGCCTTTTCAAACTATGACATCAGAAACGAGAATATTGACGCCAACGATTCTTGCAATATATATAATTGACAATTACACGATTTCGTTTCCAATCTCCTTGTCAATTTCTTGTCAAGCTATGCTCAATAAAAACATCGAGATTTAAGATTTTTATTTTTTCATGTAATTGTATATAGATTATATTTTATTATTACGAGCGAGAAATTGAAAATTTTTTTACACCATACATTGAAATAAATTTTTTTAAATTTGTCACTTCTCTTTAAATATCATAATTTGTTAAAATAAAAATCCTTCTTTTTTATTACTCTATATTATAATAAATTCACTTAATTTGCATCCATTCTATATATCTTTAGCATTTGAACGAATAATTTATTATTTATTTACAAATTGAAGCTTAATCTTATCACGCAAAGAAAAATAATAAATTTAACAAGATTCAAAAATTAATTTCTCGCTTTTGATATCATAATTTAATGTGGTTACAGTGAGATGAAGGATAAAAAGTTTCGATACAAGACAGAAATAGTTGTAAAATGTTAAGCATCGTTTCGCGATCGAATTTAAAAGTTAAAAATTTTTGTTTCTATTTAAAGCGAAGTACAATATTAGTAAAAGCCCCGAGATAATAGCGAAGGATTAACATCGCAGAAGGTCGCGGTTTAAACGAGCGGCTCTCGTTTCCGCGGTACATCGCGGCTAAAGTTCGCGGGGCAGAAATCGGGCGTTAACGTAATTAAGTATTTAAAGAGGCACGTGTTGTGCGAAATCGGAGTCTGCTGTACGCCATTTCTATTCAAGCCGTGCAGCGCGTACAACGCGTTGAAAACTCTCGTTTTAGCCCGGCGGTGTGTCGCGTCGCGTCGCGCTTTGCCACGTTGCGCTGGCTGCCCGTTTGTAAACTTTTGTGCAGCACAATGCAACCGACTGACAAAAGGAGCTCATTGCGCGGCAAACGTTTAAAGGCATTAATTACGGCCGGGCCTTTGTGCCAGTCGCAAAAGTTAACAGCTCCGGGCATTATTTTCGTACGCGAACCGTGTTTCGGTTTGCGAGAGCGAGCTGTTTGACATCGTCGTTATTAATCTGCGATGTTTTCCATTTTGCGATACTACGCTATTGTATATCATGTAGCATTTTTGAAATACCATTTGTGTTTGTTTTGGGGTTACATCACGTCGGATAAGTGATTTTATATAGAAACAGAAATGCTTTTCAAGAATTAAAATAGAAAGTTTTGTAAAAATGCAACGTAATATATAGAAATAGAAAAATACAGAAATGCTTTTCAAGAATTAAAATAGAAAGTTTTGTAAAAATGCAACGTAATATATAGAAATAGAAAAATACATACTATATAATCGCATGAAATAAAAGTATAATAATATAGCGTAAAAGAGCGTGAAAAATATGTTATAAAAGTTAATTAAATGATTGAGGGCTTAGATAAAAATCCGATATTCACGTATGTGTGTGTATATAAATTCTTTAAATAAAGACAATTATAATTCTTTCTGCGCACACTGTAATGTTAAAAATGTTACAAAAAAGTAGATAAACATATATTGATAGCTTAAATAAATTTGATATAAATCTCTTTTTTAAAAAAGAACTAAAAGTAAATCTCTGTATCTATTTTCATGTAGTTTATTTTGAAATGCATAGAATGCATAAATTTTTTTAAATTCTAAAGTTATTTTTCTCAAATTGCTTTTCTAAAATTGTTGC